GGACTACAGGCATGTGCCACCATACCCGGCTAATTTTTTCTATATATTTTTAGTTGTCCAGCTAATTTCTTTCTATTTTTTTTAGTAGAGACAGGGCCCTCGCTCTTGCTCAGGCTGGTCTCGAACTCCTGAGCTCAAACGATCCTCCCACCTTGGCCTCCCAGAGTGCCAGGATTACAGGCATGAAACTTTTGGATTTTTAACTTGGAAATTGGCTATATACAATATGATATAGATTAAAATTATAAGAGATTGATATAAAATGACATAAGACTTCCTTACCCTTAACGGAAACCACAAGGACTTTGGAGTTAGACATACTAGATGTGGAATTTGGCTCTTCCACACAATGGCTATTTGATTCTGAGCAAATCAACCTCTGAGTTTATTCCTCAGCTGTAAACTGGGGATAATAATCCTATTCACCTTACATTAGGCTGTTGTGAGAATGCTATCAAATAATATTTTTAAAGTTCTTTGCATTTTTGATTCTCAGTCATCAACAGTCCTAAATCAGGGTAGCATGTTCACATATGGCTGTGTTTTCAGTGGCTAGAGGCCAATACTGAGGCTTCACCTCCTCTCCCTGATCCCCTTGCGGCCAGAAGGACCACAGTTAGTTTTTACTCCCAGTTGGAAGTGGGGGAGGATTGGTCTCAAATGAAATCATGGACTCATGGTAATCACAACAACTCATCACTTCCATGTTCCTACACATCAGGCCTGGCCTCCTTTATGACTGCACCCTGGTAAAACAGGTGGATGTGATTAGTCATTCCATGATACACATTTCTGTCCTTTGCCTCAGTTACTAAGACAGATGGGTATTATGAGACCTTGCTTTGGAGCCAAGTTATGCCATAGGGATTTTAGTTAGACTAAATCCATCAAAGACACTAAAAAGAGTATATGAGATCAAGAAGTAAATTAGCTCTTGAGCTATTGAATGTTCTACGAGATTAGCATTACGCCTTGTTTTTGTTGCCGTTGAGTACTCACTCTGTATGATTTAATGTTTGGGCAGTTTTCCACCTGGACAGAAAAAATTGCAGTGCACTGACAAAACTATGTCTGGTCCCTCCTGCTCTTAGCCAACTCTTAGGAGCCAGAGGACTTTGTTTTCTCCTTGGGGAAGTCATCCTATGGATTTTATTTTTAGGTGATCTTAAAGGGAAGCAAGGAGCGCAGCACTGGAGCCACTGGAGTTAATGCAGACTCCTCCCGCTCCCATGCTATCATCCAAATTCAGATCAAAGATTCAGCCAAGAGGACATTTGGCAGGTGAGCTGGAAATATGCAGGGAATTACATTGTCTGCCTTTCCTTATTGTGACTTTGAAATATGTGTTATCAGCAACAGGACACCCTGCCACCATGGAGTTCTTCCTTTCAGCAATACAGAGTAGAGTTGTTAGCCCTGAAATAAATCACTGTACTAAAGTGCCATCGGTTGATTAACCACAAAGTAATGACCTATTGTTGGTCAACCCTAAGTTATTAAAAGGGACATTGATTGCTTCTAATTTGAAATATAGTTTCAACAGAGAAACAGTAAGGAAGGCATCTCAGAAAGCTTACAGGCCAAAAAAAGGGTGGGGGTGGGGGATTAATCCATTCTTCTTAAAAGAAGCCATAAGACAATTGGATACATTCATTGCTTCTCTGGTGCTATCTTAGCAAACTGTGCCACACTGATGGATGAGCCTATCTCACCTCTGAGTAATGAGTCTTTTTTTTCTTTCTTTTCTTTTTTTCTTTTTTTTTTCTTTTTTTTTCTTTTTTTTTCTTTTGCTGGAAAGCAGCCCACAAAAGTTTCTATTTAATTATCTAAGTGGTCACCTAGGTGATTTACATTGTGGTTGTTTAGCCTTTTGGGAAATGACCCTTCCCTTATTAATTTCAGTCATACTTTCTCACAAGTGATTAAAGTCAACGGAAGTGTCTGTGTGAACAGTGCCAGCAGCAGTTGACTGACAAATCAAAATCTTGTGATAGTTTTGAAAAGGCGACGGTAATATTTTTTCTTTCCTGAGGATGGGCCAATGTTAGTTTCTTCCTGAGGTCACAAAATGCTGACTGATATAAAAATAAACAAAGCCTCAAAGAATTCATTCCCGCTATGTCTTTTGTCTAGGATCTCTTTTATTGACTTGGCTGGCAGTGAAAGAGCAGCAGATGCCAGGGACTCAGACAGGCAGACAAAGATGGAAGGTGCAGAAATAAACCAGAGTCTTCTGGCTGTAAGTTGTTCAAAATCTTTAATCTAAAAATCCTTCTTGAGAGATTTTGCCCTTTACATGCAGCCAAAGTGGGTGAGGGTGGGGTGGAATCAGCAGAGCAGCAGGCATACTGTTGTTATCTAGCAATGGAATTCCAGGGTTGGAGATAGAGGCTGCCCAGTCAGCAATTCTGGCCAATTCTTTTCTTCTTTCCCTGCCACTTTTTCCTCTGGTCAATCTCTGCCAATTAGGAACAGGTGACTTCTACAGTTGCTGAATGGTACGCTTTCAGCAACTACAGTAAGCAGAAGGTAAACTTTCTCCCTCTCTCCGAGTTTTAAAATTGTATTACTTTTTCAAACACACAAAAGTGGAACAAATAGTAAATAATCTCTTATATACCTGTCACCCAGATTCAACAGTTAATTGACATATGAAAAATCTAATCAAATTCTTCCTCCCCCAGTTGAATTATTTTAAAGAAAATTCTAGTCATCATGTCATTTCTTCCGTAAGTATTTTCATTATATGTCTCAAAGAGATAAGTACTCTTATTTCTTAATGTAACTGTAATACTATTACCATCTTAAAGAAATAATTATTATCTGTTATCCAATAGGAAGTGTTACAATTTCTCCAATCATCCTGTAAATGTCTTTTTACAGTTAACTTGTTCAAACCAATGTGCAAACAAGATCCTATGTCAGTTCTTAATCCCTCTTTTATTTTTTTCTATATCAATGTATTTGTCGAAGAAAACTGGGTCACCTGTCCTGTAAGATTTCCCACATTCTGGACTTGGCTGACTGCACCCCAGTGTTGATGTTTAACATGTTACTTTATCCTTTATATTTCCTGTAAAGTGGTTAAAGATCTACATCTGTGCTGTTCAGTGTGGTAGCCACTAATCACGTGGCTATTGAGCCCTTAAAATGTGGCTGGTCTGAATTGAGATATGCTCTAAGTATAAAATACACACTGGATTTTGAAGACTTATTACCCAAAAAAAGCATGTAAAATATCTTATTAATATTTATTCATATTTATTACATGCTGAAATAATATTTTGGGTATATTGAGTTAAATAAAATATATAATTAATGTTAATTTCACCTGTTTTTATTTTTTTTAATGTAGCTATTAGACATTTAAAATTATTTATATGGTTTACATATGTGGCTCACACATTTCTATTGGGACAGCACTGAACTAGTGACTTGATCAGATTTAGGTTCTATTTTTTTTTTTTTGGCAAAAATAATTCATAGGTAGTTCTTAGAGTTCCTATAGTAATATATCAGGAGGTATAGAATATCTAGATCTCGCTTTTTGTGATTTTTAAGATTGCTGTCACCTAATTCCTCCATTATAAAGTTTCCCATCAGCATTTTTAACCTAACAATTTTAGCAGCCATTGATGAATCTCATCTATATCTATTGTTTCATTAGGGGTTCCAAAATGTTGATATTCTAATTATAATATTCCTTCTGTATGTATTAGCTGGAAAGAAGAACTTTCCCTCAACTATCTGGTTATCCCGAAATACAGTTTTAAGATAAATGCTTGATTCTTTAACTTTATTCACCAATTTTCAGAATGAGTTGGTGTCCTTGTTACCAAAACATAACCCATGAATTTATTGTTGTTGTTTACTTCTTTTTTTGTATTATTATAAACACATTGTAATCATTATTCTTTTTGCTGCTTAACTTGCACATATTTGGCCAATTGGAGCCTTTGCAAAAATGTCCTATGTCTTTTTGACGCAACTTTATTAGTCCTTGGGTTTTTGGTATGACAAAATATTCCAGGCTCTTGTACATTTCCTTCCCAGACCTTGAATGAGCCATTTCTTCAATGACCTCTGGTGTCTTTTAGAGGGAAATGGTATTTAGAGACCTCAGTCCATATGTTAGGGGTGCTTACTACTACTGGGTTAGTCCTTGCTTCTAGCCCTTTTTGATGGACAGAGCCAGGAAATAAGTTTTTATTTTTTGTTTTGAAAGAGAAAAATATGAAGGATTCATAGTAACAAGTTAATTTAAAATTAAGGTTTCAGTATTTTTATTTAACTTTTTAAAATTTATGTTTGCCTCCCTTTTCTCTTATGCTAGAAATCTTAGTTCCTAGCATTAATATAATTTATTTGCTCTACCTCAATATATATGTATTTTTAAATAATGCTAATATTATTTGTAATATGATTAATTAATTCAGTTTTAGTTTTTGAGGTTTCTTTACAATTTTCCTTTTACCATTAGGTTGTATCCTACTAAGAATGTACAGTCATAATATTGTGTTGTACAATCACTTGGAATAATTCTTCTCTGTGTTTAACCCTACCAATATCATAGTGATAGGCTCATTTGTTTGATTTCAGTTTGGGTTTTAAGAATTGCTTTCTTTGGCCAGACGTGGTGGCTCATGCCTGTAATCCTAGGAGGCCAAGGTGGGCGGATCATTTGAGCTCAGGAGTTCAAGAGCAGCTTGAGCAAGAGACCTCGTCTCTACTAAAAAAATAGAAAGAAATTAGCTGGACAACTAAAAATATATAGAAAAAATTAGCCAGGCATGGTGGTGTATGCCTGTAGTCCCAGCTACTTGGGAGTCTGAGGCAGGAGGATTCTTGAGCCCAGGAGTTTGAGGTTGCTGTGAGTTAGGCTAATGCCATGGCACTCTAGCCCAGGCAACAGAGTGAGACTCTGTCTCAAAAAATAAAAGCATTGCTTTCTTTATTTTGATTTACTTTGGTTTTATACTTTGTTTCATAATTTTGTTTTGTTAATTATTTGAAATATGTACGTGGGTTTAAAGTAAATATTGTAAAACAAACCACATTTAGAGAAGTCTGGTTTCCATCCCTGTCTCCTCAGCCCTGTTAGTTCCCTCACCTTGTATAACCATTTTTCTACCTATATATGTTTGCAGTCACCTCTTTTCTCAGGAAAAAAGCTAACATACTCTGAACACTGTTCTGCACTTACCTTTTTTTTTTTGAGACAGAATCTCGTTGTATTGCCTGGACTAGAATACAGTGGTGTCATCATAGCTCACCGCAACCTCAAACTCCTGGGCTCAAGCCATCATTCTCCGGCCTCAGCCTCCCAAGTAGCTGGGACCACAGGCACATGCTAGCACACTTGGCTAATTTTTCTATGTTTTGTAGAAATGGGGTCTTGCTCTTGCTCAGGCTGGTTTCAAACTCCTGGTCTCAAACAATCCTCCTACTGTGGTCTCCCAGAGTGTTAGGATTACAGGCATGAGCCTGGCCTGCACTTTGCTTTTTTAACTTAAAGCATTCTGGAGATCACTCCATAGTTGTACGTGGAGATCTTCCTCATTCCTTCTCACAGCTACATAGAACTGCCTTGTGCCCCCTTCAATATTTACATCCTTTTGCTGAGAAAGGACCAGCTAGGTACATTCTTTCCAGGCCTCATGAGAAATAAATTGGGAGGATGAGAGAGGCAAGAGAGGGAACCAGCATCTTTTTTTTTTTTTTTTAATTTTGGGATAATTTCAGATTTGCCAAAAAAGTTGCAAAAATCATACACAGCATTCCTGTGTACCCTTCACTCAGCTTCCCCTAGTGTTAACATCTTACATGACCATAGTACAATGATTGAAATCAATAAATTAACATTGATATAACACTATTAACTAATCTACAGACCTTATTTGACTTTCACAAATAGTCCCACTACTGTCCTTTTTTGGGTCCAGGATCCTGTATTACATTTAGTTGTCATGTCTCCATAGTCTTCTTAGTTTTTACCATTCATGAACTTGATACCTTTTAAGAATTCTGACTGGCTGTTTTGCAGAATGTTTCCTAATTTGTATTTATCTGATTTTTTTAATGATTAGATTGCAGTTATGAATTTTTAGGAAGAATACCATGGAAGTTGTGCCTTTATCAGTGTGTCACACCTAGTGGTACATGTCTTAGTCTGTTGGGACTGCTATAACAAAAATACCATAGGCTGAGTGGCTTAAACAACAAACATTTATTTCTTATAGTTCTGGAGACTGGGGAGTCCAAGATCAGGGCAGCAGCAGATTCAGTGTCTGGTGAGAGCCCAATTCCTAGTTCATAGACAGCTATCTTCTCAGTGTCCCCACAAGGTGGAAAGGGATGAGAGAGTTCTCTGGGTCTCTCTTATAAGGGCACTAATCTCATTCATGAGGATCCCACCCTCAAGAACTAATCACCTCCCAAAGGCCCCACTCCTAATACCATCACATTGGGGATTAGGGTTTCAACATGAGAATTTGGGGTGACATAAACATTCAGCCTGTAATAGTGCATGATGTCCATATGTCTTATTACTAGTGATGTTAACCATAATCAGTTAAGGTGGTGTGTGCCAGGTTTCTCCACCATAAAGTTACTGTTTTCCCCTTTGTAATTAATAAGTATCTTGTGGGGAGATACTTTGAAACTATGCTAACATCCTGTTTTACATCACACTTTTGCTACCTAATTTTAACAACTGTTGATTCTTATCTGCAGCAGTTATTACTGTGGTGTTTATCTGATGGGATTTTCTATTCCCATCATTCTTTCTTCATTAATTACTTGGAATTCTGCTGGAGGAAGAGCTGCTCTTTCTCCCCCGCTTATTTTTTTTTTTTTTTGAGACAGAGTGTCACTCTGTTGCCCGGGCTAGAGTGCCGTGGCGTCAGCCTAGCTCACAGCAACCTCAAACTCCTGGGCTCAAGCGATCCTCCTGCCTCAGCCTCCTGGGTAGCTGGGACTACAGGCACGTGCCACCATGCCCGGCTAATTTTTTCTATATATTTTTAGCTGTCCAATTAATTTCTTTCTATTTTTGGTAGAGACAGGGTCTCGCTCTTGCTCAGGCTGGTCTCGAACTCCTGAGCTCAAACAATCCGCCCACCTCGGCCTCCCAGAGAGCTAGGATTACAGGCGTAAGCCACTGCGCCCGGCCTCCCCCACTTATTTATTAAATTATTATTTAATAGATTAGTCAGTAATATTTCCTTTATTCATTGGATTATAAGTGTTGCTCAAATTGTACCAGATTTGACTATTGGGGATTCTTTCAAATTGGCTCCTGTGTCCCTTTGATCTGCTCCCATCATTTGTTGAGCACCTTTTGGCACTGCAGGATGTTCCATGCTCATCTTGTACTTTCCCCACCATCAACCATTTCTCCAAAGAGCCCTTATAGGAACCAATATATTTTTAGCCTTTGCTATAAGCCTGTGAATTTAGTTTTCCCATCAACTCTGAGGCAAGTTAAACAAGTTCTCTTATCCTCACTTTAGGATTTTTAGGCACATGTGGGTTAAGTGAATTGGTCAAGGGTCCATAGCCTCTAACCAGAAATCTGTGATTCTGGCATTTTGTATGATGGTCCAGGAATCAACTACAAAACCTGGGAAGAAGTACCTGTGAAGTCACACAACCCATTGGGGCTTGACTGTGTCTATCTCATATGAGCTATAGCATGTAAAGAGGCCTAGGAACAAGCCTTCTATTAAAAGAATAGGATCACAAATGCTTTGTGAGATGTAAAAAGGTGCCCCTTGGTTCTTTCCTGGGTATTTCCCTTGGCTCTCCTTTAGTGTATAGTAAAGTCTGTTGACTATTGTATTCTGATTCAGCAGGGCTAAAAGGATCTAAGGGCTCATAGGGATTGGTGGCCACACTTGGATTTGAATATGTGAGGAGTAGGTATAACTCAGGGCAGGGTTCTCCTTCTGGAGATCTTCCCTGTGTTAAAGTTGAGGGATATTGGATTGATTTTTAATAAAAGTGATAACTTCCTTATACATTTTTATACCCTACAGCTTCTTGGATGGGGATAAGAAGGCAGTTGTGGGCCTCTATAGCTGCCCCTAGGAACAACCATAGCAAACTCTCAAGGCTAATAACCGGTTCTTGGTGGACTGGAAGCACTGTCACTTCCAAGGGATTGCTTCCATCTTCTTCCCTCCTTTCCTTTTCATTTACTGGTTTTAGCCTAGATGCATGACTCAAAAATAGAAAGTCTCTCCTCCCTTATCTTGCGCCCCTCACCCCCACCGCTGTTTCTGATGGGTGTTTTGCCCTGGAGGTCTCATATCCGGGAACTTGCTGTTCCTAGTGATGTCCAATGAACACTTCTCACTGAGGAGATATGCCTAGGAGCAAGTAACATTCCTTTTCCTTTGGGCCACAGACCCTGCTCTTTTAAAATGAAGGAGTAGACCTAGCTGATTTCTCAGTTCCATCCCAGCTCTGACTCTAGAATTTCTCCTACCCCATTCAGATAACTTATATCTGAATCTATATTTGAATCTACACCTATAGGTGTGCATATGTAAGCAGGAAGAGGGGGAAGCAGGTATAGATATTTTCTCTACTTAAGTGCATTAATAGTTGGAAAGAGCGTGAGGAGACATAGGGAGCTAGCAAACAGAACTACCACCACGTAAACTTGGATGCTAGGACTTAAGAGTAGGTCCCTGAGTTTGTCTTTCCCCCACTATCAGCTCAGAGCTAATCCTAGGATCCTAGCCCTTTGTTGGGAGGCCTTAGCTATGCAGCACAGGATGGTGTTTCCCAGTCCATTCTGGTTTTTCTTGTTGAACAGGAAACTACAGGGCATTTTTACTTCCTTTTGGAGGATTACCTGAGTGTGGTTTATTTAAGAAAAATAAGCGTACTATGGATACAACATCTGATCTGTTATTCTCTCTTTGCATGTAATATTTGATGTGCTTATTCTCCCACTTTTCAGCTGAAGGAATGTATCCGAGCACTGGATCAGGAACACACCCACACTCCCTTCAGGCAAAGCAAATTAACTCAGGTAAAATTAAATGTGAGCCTTGAGTTTGTTCTGGTTCATTCATTTGTTCCTTCTTTCATTCATTTCTTCATTTAGTAGACTATCTACTGTCAGCAAGACATAATGCTAGGCATAGTGGGGAAAAGAGAAGGGGATGAGTCACATTCCTAGTAGGAGCTCTCAGTCTACGAGTTGAGTATCCCTAATTCAAAAATCCGAAATCTGAAATGCTCCAGAATCCAAAACTTTTTGAGCACCAATATGATACTCAAAGGAAATGCTCATTGGAGCATTTCAGATTTGGGATTTTTGGATTAGAGATGCCCAACTGGAAGTAAAACACGAATATTCCAGAATCCAAAATAATCTGAAATCTCAACTACTTCTGTTCCCAAGCACTTCGGATAAGGGATATTCAACCTGTGCTAGGACTTTAGAGAGGCAGAGACTCAGGCAGAGATATCTGTAGTACAGGGCAGCTGGGGGCCCATGGGCTGCACTCTTCTGGTCACCATTTTTCTGTTTGTTTCCAGTGTACGGAAATCTTGTTGATTTGTGGAGTCTCTGAGCCTTTGAAGAGGGCAGTTTAGCTGTACTTGGTACTTTCTTGGTTCTAAGCTTTAGACTAGTGTTTCAGCACAAAAAAATAATGGTTACAGGCAGTTAAAAAGGACGTAGATTTTCTACGTGGACTGATAGGAAAGATGACTGTGATCCATTGTGATGCAAGCTATAGAATAATATAATAATGTAATTGCCTGTGTGGTCCTAAAGCATTTTTTCTATTATATGTTTAGCCCCACAGAGGAAAACATTTAAAGATACCAAAGAAACAGCATTGGCTCTATTTGGAGAGTAACAATGAACATAAAGATGGAACTGCAACTTTTCACCTTTTTAAAAGAGCACATATAGGCCGGGCGCGGTGGCTCACGCCTGTAATCCTAGCTCTCTGGGAGGCTGAGGCAGGCGGATTGTTTGAGCTCAGGAGTTCGAGACCAGCCTGAGCAAGAGCGAGACCCTGTCTCTACCAAAAATAGAAAGAAATTAATTGGACAGCTAAAAATATATAGAAAAAATTAGCCGGGCATGGTGGCACGTGCCTGTAGTCCCAGCTACCCAGGAGGCTGAGGCAGGAGGATCGCTTGAGCCCAGGAGTTTGAGGTTGCTGTGAGCTAGGCTGACGCCACGGCACTCTAGCCCGGGCAACAGAGTGAGACTCTGTCTCAAAAAAAAAAAAAAAAAAAAATGTGCGATGAGGGAAAAAAATATGCCACACAGAAAATTATGCAAATGTTAACTGCGATTATTCTGTGTGGTGGGATAAATAGGTAGCTTTTTTTCTATTTCTCGGTTATGAAGATGTGCCTCTTTATTAACAGAAAAGACCAACAGATGTTAAGTCAGCATTCACAGTGGCTGCAGAAGGGTGGCATGGGGAGGGGTCTTCCTAGGTATAAACAGCTGTGAAGGCAGTTATGGGTGCCCTGGTTCCTCTCTGCACTATGTCCTGTGTACAGTAGAAGACAGATGTGGTAGAGGGAGGTCTAGGATAGGATCTTTATATGCTGCAGAATGAAGCCAGCCTAGCACATGGGAGAGGTTCTACTCTGTGCAGCTAGACTAGCAGACATAGGACCTGGGGCAGAACCTATAAAAACAGCTTCTTACTAGTCACAATTGGTGATCTATGGGTTAGATTGTGTATTCTCAAATGTAATTTCAATCAGGGACCAAGGAAACGCTTCTTATAGGTGGTTAGTCCTGATTCTGACATTGGCTTTATTATTTTTTAAATAATAAGCTCCCCACCCCCAGAAAATGTGTTCCTATTTATTAAAGCATAATAATTCCAACTGTACATACAAATACAAAGAAGAAGGTACCTCTTCAAAACAGTGTTACATTAAAAAAAAGAAAAAGAAGATAAAAACCTTTAAATCCCAGCCCCTAGTGATAACTGCTGCTACATTTCCAGTCATCTCTCTGCCCCATATACACACACAGATCCACTAATAGAGTTATGGAATCATATATACCATTTCCACTCAAAGATTTAAGTTTTACATATCTTTTCATGTTCCTAAGTACAGATATAATCATTTTTAATGGTTGTATTGCATTCAATTTATAATTAGTTTCTTGTTTGTAAATTAGTAACTATTAATAGATTGTTACTAAATTTTATTATTATAAGTAACAATATGTGCATTTGTATAACTGAAGTGATAGCACTGGTATCAACCGCCTTGATTTTTATAATGGAACAGACATAAGCTTTGATATCAAACTGATCCTGTTCTTATTCTGTGATTACCATTACTCTCTATGTGCACTTGCACACATTGCAGAAATAAATCCTGATGTTTAATATCTCAATATGTTGAATGTTTATTTCACTTCACACACAATTTTATTCAGCTGCCCTTCATTGGACGGCACTCCTAGGTGGCTCTCTTCTAAGTGACACATTCAGGGATTCTTCCTCCTTCTGTACCCCTGTTGTCTTGGAGTGTTTTGCTTTCAGCTTCCATGTGTGAAGGAGAGAGAGCATAGAAGATTGCAAAAGATGTTTTATGTCCAACTAAATAAATGACATACATCCTCCCCTTGCTCCCTTCCATTGGCCAAAACTCAGTCACATTGCTCCTAATTGCTTAGAAATTAGACATGTAGATTCCCTTCACATCCAGAAGAAATTTACAGTGTCTCTTTCACAGATACCTTACAGGGTCACTGGGAATAATCAACGAGATAATATACAGAACGGCCAAATAAATGGCATTACCAAAGTGTGGATCTTTTTTTTTTTTTTTTAACACAGTCTCACTCTGTTGCCCGGGCTAAAGTGCCGTGGCATCAGCCTAACTCACAGCAATCTCAAACTCCTGGGCTCAAGCAATCCTGCTGCCTGATTCTCCTGAGTAGCTGGGACTACAGGCATGCACCACCATGCCCGGCTAATTTTTTCTATATATTTTTAGCTGTCCAGCTAATTTCTTTCTATTTTTAGTAGAGACGGGATGTCACTCTTGCTTAGGCTGATCTCGAACTCCTGACCTCAAGCAATCCTCCCTCCTTGTCCTCTCGGAGTGCTAGGATTACAGGCGTGAGCCACCGAGACCTGCCCATAGTTTAGCTTTTAATGTCTAGAATAAGGAGATGATTGATATTTATTGCACAGAGTCTAAAGTAGGGAATGTCTGGAGCTGGATTCTTCCTACATGATGGCTGAACCTAAAAGTTGATGCGCAGTACTAGGGCATATGACCCAACATTTATGTTGGAAGTTGGTGACAGGCTTGAAAGGTTTTAGCTTTTAACTTATTTTATTACTGAATCT